TCTAGTGCCTTTTCTTCTACTGGAAAGTCATCTGATGTTTTATTTTGGACATCTACTTGAACCATCCTGTCCTGTTTTTATAAATGTTTTGATATTGTCTGCGGTCTTTGGGGCATTCACTGGTTATTTTCCTCATTTATTGATTGTAGATTTGCTTGTTTCTTCCTGCTTTTTTGTTTTATTTGGTTATGTCTGAGCAGGCGTACTGTGCATTATTTGTTGTTTGCTCGTCTGTGGGCATGATACTTTTCCCCTCCTTCTCCAATGGGCAGGGTCAGTCACTCAGGTGTGGTACAGCAGGGCAGGTCCAGCTGAAGGGGAGTTGCTGGGATGAGTTGTTTGTGGCACGTACCAGGGCTGACAGTGTGGTCCATGAATCAGTGCAGCACAGATTCCAGTAGGCCGTGCCTGTGCTGCCTGGGAGTGTGATGTTCAGCACATGGTGCAGGTAGGCAGGTTGGGGGGGTAGATTGTGATGTGTGCAGCTAAGATGGGTGTGGGAAAGAAGAGAGAGAGGAGAGAGGAACAGGAGCCAGAAACATATACACAAACAAACAAAAAAATGCTTAGGGAGCTTGCTATTGGAGTGGAGAGATGAGAGACTGAGAAACGGGGGAAAAAAAAATTAAAAAAAAAAAGAAAAAGGGTAAAAGAAGAAAATGGATAAATTGAGAAACTGGAAATGAAGAAAGACAAAAAGGGATTAAGAGAGAGAAGAAAACAAAACAAAGAACAAAATAAAAAAAACCAAAAACAAGAAAAAGAAAGCACAACCAAAAAAAGAAGAAAAACAAGAAAAAAGAAATGCTCCCAGGGATATCCCTGTGCGTTTGTGCAGAGTAAGGGAGTAACTTCCAAGCCACGTGGTACTTCCTGGCTAGAAGGGGCTCCCAAGCTGAGAAAAGAAAAAGAAAAAAAACAAACAAACAAATCAAAACAGAACATATCAGATCAAACATCTGCCATCTTGGACTCCTATCAAAGATCAATGAACAAGGGATATGAGAAAGCAGCTTCACGGATTTTCCAGCAGGAGACAGAGCAACCGGTAACCAGTGATATAAGCTTTCCCACACCCCACCCTTCTTCACCCCCACTTAGCCTCC